TCTAATGAGACCCAACTGCCTGGTTATGTAACTCCCCACACGCTGCTTGCGGCTCCTGCTTTTAGCCCCCGCTGCCGTTGCTTTGCTGTTGGAGTCATTAATGTGCTTGGGTCCCTTAAAAATATTGTCCTCATCAATTAAAAAAAAAAAAGTTTGAAATGATCAAGCTGGTTTGTTTAATCAGCTGCTTTTCCGTGAATCAGTCTGGGGACTTAGAAGAATTTATTGTGTCTACCCAGTGCCTTGAAAGGATCATTTCTTTACTAAAGGACATGGAGGAGGGGAAACAAAACAGATGAATTAATAAATCATTTTTAAATATCCCTTTTAACCACCCAGTCAGCTTTTCTGTACTGAATGTGTCCCTTTTGTAAATATCTTCTGTTTGCCCTTGATCTTTTCCTTATCCCCACCCAGTGCTGATCCAGCAAACGTTTAAAGGTCGCCTTATCATACAAGCTTTCGAACTATTCCCATACCGTGTTGAGGGGAACACAAGTGGTTTGGAAATAGAGTTTCAGACTTTAAAAGGAGATTATGTGGAGCAAGAAAAAACAGCAACATTGTATTCACATTTTTATGGGATTTTGATATTGACTTTGACTTCTCTAATCTTTAGTCACACATATACTAAATTTTGTACTTAGTGATGCAGTGCAGAAAAGCACACCGCTAACCGAAATTCATGCCGAGTGTTTAACTTGAGCCAAAAAATACCCTTTTTTTTTTTTTAATGGAACTTCTTGTACAATGCTGTCTTCTTTGGACAAGTACCTTATGCTAAAGATTTTCATTAGCAGTGCATGTTCCAATATTTGATTCTAGTCCTTTCTTTAACTTTAGGTAGGTGATTTCTCTTTTGTCCTTTGTGAAGGAGTGACAACCATATTTTATATTTAAATATAAAATGGAGTCACGGAGAGGAAGAAAAGCAATTGTTTTGAGTGAGGCTATCAAAAGCCCTGCTGGCTCTAGTAACTTTCAGAAATCCTGACTGTAGACAATGTAAAATATGTAGTTGTATGCGTATATATTAAATATACATCTATCAAATGTAATATATGTATATAAAAGAACTACAGAAAGGGGAAAATTGTGAATTAATTTCTTGTAATGATTTAACAGTTATTGCCACCCCATCACAGAAAATGCATCCATATTTTGCATGCACTGATTGTATTATCATTTTATTAATTCTGAGGAAAGGAAAAATTCTTGTATATGTTCAGCAGACATTTTCTCTTCAGTTTGTGTAATTTCACCAGTGCACAGTTGATGTGGATGCTTGACTTGAACTTAAAATAAGTGCAGCACAATTTGAATTATTTGTGTGAAATCCTCTGAGGAAACTAATATGTTTGTAATTCTGTAACTTTAAAGGCAGCCAATGTGTTTGCAAACTTTAAAATGATAAATGACCCTTAGACTAAGACCTTTCATGCTAAACTAATAGCCTGGTGCTAAATTTTGCAGCTGAGTACTATAAATCATCCGAAATAGGGGTTGGTAATTGAACCCTTGACAGGCCTGGCAGTTCTGTGATGTCTTAGAAATTATACTTGCTGCTTTGTGAATAGCTAAACTGGAAGCTCATATGATTTTGAAATACCCTGTGCTGTATATATAAACACATGCCTAGTGCACCTTCTGCAGTATTGTTTCTAAGTCATATTGAATGTAGTTGACACCCTCACCTTTCACAGGCGTGAACAAAAGCAGTTTGATGCAATTGTTGTCACTTAGAAAGTAACCTATTTTATGCAGAAAGTGAAGCTAAAAGAATAGGCCTTGGATCTTGATCTTACATTTTCCTTATTTGGGTGTGTTTGCTTTTGTTTTTTCTTAAAGGAACAAGAGCACTCAAGGTGAAGGATAAAAATCAACTAGAATCAGCACTTTGAATGAAAGTTTGTTTCCCTGTGGCATCTTGAACACTTTCTTCTTCGGGTTTTGAAACAGATTTATAACTTTGTGGCATAGCAGCTATGCAGCTTGAAATCCAAGTAGCACTCAATTTTATTATTTCATATTTGTACAATAAGCTTCCCAGACGACGTGTCAACATTTTTGGTGAAGAGCTTGAAAGACTTCTTAAGAAGAAGTATGAAGGGCACTGGTATCCAGAAAAGCCATACAAAGGATCAGGGTTTAGATGTATACATATAGGGGAGAAAGTGGACCCAGTCATAGAACAAGCATCCAAAGAGAGTGGTTTGGACATTGATGATGTTCGTGGCAACTTGCCTCAGGATCTTAGTGTTTGGATTGACCCATTTGAGGTTTCATACCAAATCGGTGAAAAGGGACCAGTGAAAGTGCTTTATGTGGATGATAATGAAAATGGATGTGAGTTGGATAAGGAAATCAAGAACAGCTTTAACCCAGAGGCCCAGGTGTTCATGCCAATTAGTGACCCAGCATCTTCAGTATCTAGTTCTCCTTCTCCTCCCTTTGGTCACTCTGCTGCTGTGAGCCCAACTTTCATGCCCCGCTCCACTCAGCCTTTAACCTTCACCACTGCCACATTTGCTGCCACCAAGTTTGGCTCGACCAAAATGAAGAATAGCGGCCGTAGCAACAAGGTCGCCCGCACTTCTCCCACCAACCTTGGCTTGAATGTCAATGACCTGTTGAAGCAGAAAGCCCTTTCCTCCTCCATGCACTCTCTCTACGGGCTTGGCCTAGGCAGTCAGCAGCAGCAGCAGCAGCAGCAACAACAGCAGAAGACTTCTGCCCTTTCTCCTAATGCAAAGGAGTTCATTTTCCCTAACATGCAGGGTCAAGGTAGTACCAGTAGCATATTTCCTGGTGACAGCCCCCTTAACCTCAGTCCTCTCCAGTACAGTAATGCCTTTGATATGTTTGCAGCCTATGGAGGTCTAAATGAGAAGTCTTTTGTGGATGGCTTGAATTTTAGTTTAAACAACATGCAGTATTCTAACCAGCAATTCCAGCCAGTTATGGCTAACTAAAAATAAAACAAAAGTGAAATACAAGTAAATACTATTGTACAAGTTTAAATGCACGTACCCAAGGGTGTATCTTTTTTTCCACCTCTTGAGATTTTTTTTAAGGCTTGTAGTATGAATACATTCAAGCTTGGTTAGATAAATACAACATGCATCATTTTTTCATTTGCCAACCAAGCACAAAATTATTTTATACTGACTGTACATTACAAAAATATACTCTCGAAATATGGCCTCTTACAGTATTTAAGATATAGCAAGGACATGGCTGGTTTTTTCGTATATATATATATATATATATAAACATATATGTATATATATTTAAAAAATTGGCACTAATAAGTGGGTTTATTTGTCTTTTTCTAATTGTAAAATTTAATTTAGTACAAAGTTTGTAAAATATCAGAGTATATATATTGTTTCTACAACATGGTATTGCATTTATATCTTTTTACTACAGTGATCTGTGACAGCTGCAGCAGCTTCATGTTGTATTTTTTTTACTGAAATTGTAAGATATCCATCTTAAAAACATCAATTCTAAAAAAATAAAAAATTGTGTACAGAATATTCCTTAGTGGTGGAATTAAAATGTACGAAATATTTGCTTTTTTCAAAAGAAACACAAATTGTATTTTCTGTTAAAGGTTTAAAGATTTTTGCTATATATTATGGAAGAAATGTAATCGTAAATATTAATTTTGTACCTACATTGTGCAATACTTGAAAAAAGGTATAAAAGTATTTTGAGTCAGTGTCTTACATGTTAAGAGGGACTGAAATAGTTTATATTAAGTTTGTATTAAAATTCTTTAAAATTAAAAGACTGTGTGGTCTTTGTTTTTCCTGTTGTGCTGAAGGTCAGAGTGCTGCATTTATTGTGTTGTCAATGCTAATGATGCAAAAAAGTCTGACTCAGTGCATCACAAAGGAGTGATGGAAAGGGTTGCTGTGTTGATGCACCACAATAATGGGTTGCTTTACCTAAAATAGTTCTGACAAAGCACATAGTCTGATTAACTACTTGGCTACAATTATTTGAGCAAACTTTCACTTGCTTTCCATAACTGCAGCTCATTGACGTCAGAAGATTAGTTATTTTTCCCTTGAGAATTAAGATTACAAGCTATTTAAATGTTGAGTTATTGTGTGACATGATATATCTAGAAGGTACTCAGGTGATTCAAAGAAATTCACTTTCTGTGTAATCAAAGTGGATTTGAACTGTTATCTCGAGAGGTCCTAGACCAATGCGTCAGCATTTTGTTTCTGTATTAGGGATTAATAGCTCAGAAAGTAGACTGAATAAAACTGCTGATTTACAGTTTGCTAAACTGATCGTAGCCTTTCATTTTATATGCCTTATTTAAAAAAAAAATTTAATGCAACTAGAATGTGACAATCAGAAAGGCTTTATTTTAATGGATTTTACCAATGTTAACTTATTAGATTTTTCAAAACATGAATGTGTGTGAATGGAGGGAGGAAGAATTCAGAGGCTAACAAAACAACTGAGCTTTCCCAGGGCAATTTTGAAGTTACATCCCTTACTCTTTGGGTCCTTTTGACAAATAGTATTTGTCGCTAATGGACATTGTCAAGAGGAAGAGAAAGTATTTCTTTAATCCTTAAATCTAACAAGTAGTAATTTATTTGCCATTGTAGTTCCAGTTGTACAAAGAGAAAATATATGCTGAGTGGATAGTCCATCGATTCATAATAATGAATTCTAAGCTAAAAAAAGGAGAACAGGTTTAAGTTCATATGAATGTTAGTATTTTGGCTCTGGCATTAGTGACTGAAAGTCAGTCGTAGCCTATTTGGTAGACTTGTTTTTTCAGAAAGCGTAAATCGTATCCCCATACAGACCCCGTTAGGTATGAGTAGAAGAAGAGAGTTTTGCTGGAAATAGCCAAATGCTGTAAGTAAGAACGAGGGTGTTTGTCAACACTGTGGCGAGATCTTTACTCTGCTTTGGACGGAATGAGGCTATGAAGCGGTATTGGACTATCAAATGGACTGGGTGGAGATTTGAGGCTGACAATGCTGTCAATTTCTAATGCCATGGCAAACAGTTCAAAAGCAATAGTGGAGAGAGTGCTGTTTTTAGGCATTCATCTGTCTGTATTTAACTGGCTTATTTTTATTGAGTTTGCCATCTGGTTTATCTTTCTGCTGATGGCACATCAGTGGACCAAACCTTACTTTAAAGCCTCTAATTCAGTGTCGTGTCTTACTTTAAGTGGATGATTTTGCCTTAAAAAGGAGTCGGCCACTGAAAGGTGTCTAAAATAAACTGAGGAAAAAATTTGGATCAACTTACTGAAAAATAGAGAATGTTTGATCTATGTATTATTGCTCTTTGTGTTCCTAGACTTTAAGATTTCTTAAAATTTTAGTGTTTACGATATAGTAATAATATCTGAACTACCTAGAAGGTTAAGCAGCTTTGACAGTGGAGATTGTTCTGTGTGTTCCGTAATATTTTTGTTCCTGTGATTTAAGCTGGGATCGTTTGTCTTAAAGGGCATCCAGCTTACCCTCCTCCCTTTTTGGATTCATTCACTTTCACACTATCAGTTCTACTTATGAAAGATGGTGAATTCTAGGAAAGAAGAATCTCTAGAAGCAAGGGTTTTTTTTTTTTTTGTGGTTGTCTTTATGCAGCTCGATCTTGTCATATAAAGTTTTTAATAAGCAAGTTTTTGCCCTTATACTGATTTTTATGGATTTTTCGTAGGTTGTTGATGGCACTTTGCAAGGAGACAATCTGGAGAGAGAGCTTTCAGCATTCTTGAGGAATGCAAATACAAGGATTTTTAATGTTGTTTCTTGCTGCTTACAGAAATTAAAGATTTTGGGGAGGTTTCTGTTCAATCTGTTTTATCCATTTAGTTGACCTTTTACTAAGGTTTAGTGTTGAATTCGTTACATCAAGCATTTACATTGCAGCGTTCTGTTCTAAATGTGTGCCAGTAAATCTCTTGTTTAATTTGCATGCACCCAGCATTCTCCTCTTGCAGCTACGCTCTCAGGTAAGTGAGTTTGTTTTGAGAGAAATGACCTAACGCGTGTGACGGGGAAAAAGGAAGCGTTTGCACTGTTATGCAAGTTCTTTTATTTTTCTCTTATGAACGTGCAATTTACTTCCTTAAAATTGCTGGTGTAAGTTAAACCTCCGAAGATGTTTTTAATTTACCAGTGAAGAAATGGGTAAAACTGTAAGTATGCTTCCTCCTCAGCGCATCCTCTCTCTTCATTCAAAGTCCCCACACAAGCATAAGTTTAAGAAATTTTTTTTTCTTAAAACAATCTGAAGTAATGACACATCAGTGCTGTGCTTAACTTTGGATCCATAACCAGATCCAGACCTTGAATACAGTTGTCTTAGTAAAGTAATTGCCATTGATAAACTAGTGGTAGCATCTGAGGCCACAAGATGTACCACTGTAGCATACCTATCTCATCCAATAATTCTTGCTTAAACCAATGTCTTCTATAGATTTTTTTAAAAGATACAAAGCTATATTCTTCACGTACTTATTTTTATAAAACGTCACCTTTGTTTGTTTGCTTCACTACATGCTTAGTTTATGAAAAAGTATCCTTTATTTCTACACTGAGGATTAAACAAAAACAAGCATAAAACCTAAGTTTACAAGATGTATAGAGTTTGACAAAAATAAACCATGCTCAATACCCTAGCAAGGTAATGAAGGCTGTACTAATTTGTTTTTAAATTTAAGATTTTTAAATGATCATGCTATGTTAAAATTAGGTTAGTGTTTAGAAATTGATGAGGGCTGGCAATACTTTCATCTGTAAGGTAGACTCAATTCAGCCCAAGCTGGTAACATTTGAAAATTGTAATTTTGAGGCCTGTGGAGAAGAGTTCAGAGGTGTCTTGGCATAACAGGGCAGAGAAGATCTCATAGTTAACGGTCCATGCTGCATTTGTTCTGTGGGTAAGTAACAGTCCTTGGTCTTGATCAGGAGTCTAGTATTGATTGCCTAAATTAAATTGATCTTGCTATTTTTGCAAAGGAGAGCTAGCTGAGGGATAGAGTTTACTAGTACTTAGAGAGCTCTTCATTCCTGCGTCGTGTTCCCAAAGATCTGCGCTGTGGATGTGAATCCAGAGGATGCAGGTTGGCCTGGCATTGGATTCTCAGCTAATGTAAGTGTTTGTGGTTTTTAGCTATCATAATTTATACAAATTGAGAACGGGGCTTAAGATGCAGAAGGATCCATCCCTTTTCTTCAACGTGCAAAATTAGAAAGCTATCATGCATTGCTTGTATTACCTCCTGCTACAGACAACCACGGCAGATGATTCCCCAGCGACAGCACAGCCACATGCCCAGCTGTCTGGTACTCTGTGCTCCCACTTGATTGAAATGTACAAAAGCCTGTTACTAGCACACAGTCTAGTTGCATTTCTGAAATATCAAGTAACCAAACAACTAGTTGTTGAATCAGCTCTTTGAACCAGCATGGGATCAAGCCAGAGTTCGTTTACTGATCTGACCCCCTGGACTGTTCTATTAACGTTTCAGTAATAAATACCTCAGAGTTTGTAGCAGTGGAGCACATGAAGCAAACCAATGGTTCAGCACTCCTTTTTTATATCATCAGCAAATTGATTGAGTGTACAGAGTTGACTGCATTCCTCTCATGAGCTGCAT